GTGTTGTTCAGGTATTACATTTCAAAAAGTACAAACAAGATCTAACACATACATGCTAGAACTTGCATCAGCCCTTGTTCCTACAGTTTAAGCTCAATTTTGTTATGCTGTGTTAGAGGTGGTGTTTTGTTGGCAGTTATCTAAGCTCACCTCGCAAAACAAGCCTCAGCCTGCCTGAACCTTTCAAAGTGTACAGAGAACCACTCATGAGAAAATCCTTGCACTGGGATTCCCCAGGGTTTCAAACTTTTTACTACTAGGAACCTAAATTTTCAAACTGAGCAAGAACAGCCCATTTTGGTTGCAAAATGGTCTTCAACTGGCAGGTACTACTAAGTGCTTTTTCTTAAGCTATGGCAGATGAGAACTGCAGAAAACAATTCTTTTTTTTTTTCAACCCAAACAGGCAAAGAATAAAGTAATTCTGAAAGAGTAAGTGAAAACTTCTGCACAGTCTAAGGAAAGCCTGGGAACATATGGACAAATGGAGAATTCTGGCTCTGAGTAAACTGAACAGGAATTATTTGTTCGATAGGAGAAAGCTGGGGCTTATTTTGGAAGCAGCAGGGAATAAAGATGACTGGCTAAGGCAAGCGTCTTTTGACAGGATTCCTGTAAATGAGCATGCATGAACTGAATGGCATCCAAATCCCTACCGAGTCTGCTTTGCGAGCCAAACCACAGCTCAGAGTCCCCAGCACTTTCTCAGCAATTTTGGAATCGGTTATCAAATAGCTTCCTATTTTTTCCTTTATCTCACTTATCCTGTCTCCAAGAAACATCTAACCTTGTGATTTTTCCACATGGAATTGTACATAATGTAGTTTTACCTCACACGTCTTCATGTCCTTAGAGAGCTTGAACCCTTTCTTGCCATCACAATAGCAGCGGTAACTTCCTGGAGAGTTTACACAGAGTTGAGTACAAACATTTTCAGCACATTCATCGATATCTAGGAGAAATGGAAACATACAGAAAGATTTATTCAGATTATTCATGGCACAGACTGAAAGCTAACACAATAAATTAATGGAATAATGGACAAAAGGGGTTTGCTGGCATACTATGAATCCAGGAGGCGACTGCTAGTAAGCTACACTAATGTTAATGGATGTCTCCTGTGTAAAATTTACAATCCAGAATTCTCTGCTGGGTGTGTAAGACCTAGTAATCTGATAGAGACTGCCTGTGCAGAGGTGGGGAAAATTTGGTCTGATTTGTGAGGCAGTAAGAAGCTGAGCTAGTGAAAGAGACCTCAGTAAATAACTACCATTTATGGCAGAAATGCCATTATGGGCCAGATCTTCCTTTCCCTATAGCTGTCATCAGAACTTAGAGTATTAAGAGTATATACAGTAAGTATGTGGAGAAAAGACATGCTTTATTCAAGTAAAGTAATTTCAGGGCAAAAGACCTTGTAAAATGACATACAATACTGTCTATTTGAAACTTAGTTACTTATGAAATTATCTATTTGTGGAGACCAATCTGACTTCAGCTGCAAATAAGCTAAACCGACTAAAGGAATTTACTTTTCTATTTAGTAGGCTGTACGCAATAAATACTGGAGAAATGAAAAGCCCAATGAAACTGCTGCATTTCTAATACAGAAACAAAGAAAATCACTCCCGGGTAAGAGACTAATGAGGGTGATTTTGGGCCTCAGATTAAAGAAACTGCAATACTTGCTTTGAAACAAATGGCCCTTCTAATGGGAATAAATAAGGTGGGTTTTTTTGGTTTTACTATAGCATGTATTAAAAAAAAAGTTTTATACTATGCTAGGTTTTTTTAAATCTTACAATATTTCTTTTTCCCTGTTACTTGGGGGAGGAGAAAGGAAAAGGGGGAAAAAAACCAACCCCAAAAACCAACCCACAAGAAAAACCCCCAAAACAAACAAACAAAGAGAAACCCCAAAACCTTATTGAAAAACCTGTTACTCTGTAGTAAGTATGCATAATCTTCCAGACCAGGATACAGTGTTTAACAGTTTGTGGATGGTATTCTGATTTCTACCTCTGCTGCAGTGAACAATCACGGGCAAGTTGCGGTACCACCAAGTGCTAGCAGTTTCTGCACTATTTAAATGGCCAACAGTTCGTGAATTGGAAAAGGAAATATTTCAATAAGGAAACTGGTATCACATCTGCCTGAGGAGACCCCTATTACTAAAAGGTCTCCTCTTCCTCACCTTTGTTGTAAGTCATCAGTGCAAGGGGTCTATGCTGAGATTTACACTCCCTCGTACATGGTCTTACCGGAAGAAAAAGCTGTACTCTTGTGTGCTGCAGCTGCTACAGCCAGAACTAAGGTTCTGCTCAAGATCCAGCCCCGTGCTGCGTCAGTTTTCCTGATGACGTGGCAACCTGCTGTTTTCTGTGCCGCACCCTCCTAACTTACTCTCATTATTTAAAAGTCGTTTATAGATTAAACTGTGACCGCATCTGAACAGTCTCCTCAGAGGTGAACGTTTGCTGGTGTTAAGAGTTTTATCTTTGCTCAGGTTTGAGAGAGCTGTCCTATGAGAAAGTGCTGCTCTGCATGCATATACGTATGCGCACGCGCGCTGACTCCTGCAGTGGTAAATTACCAACCCTCTACACGTGGTTTAATACTTACTGAATTCACTTTGGCCTCCGTCACCTGCAGTACTATTTTGGGGGAGTAAGATACGAGGGTGGGTTGCAACACCGAAGTGTGTACTTTGGAGGATTATTCAAACTTCTTTCCATGTGCTTCCGAGCTAGCGCCTGCACGTTAGCCATGTGGTAGGATTTGGTCAGTTGTTAAAAAATATTTTGCTGATGTAGACGTGCAACTGATTGACCCCTCCATTCCCTCCAGCCACAACGCGTTATCTCTTACTCCTGTTTGCAAGGGTACTCCTTTCCATTTAGAAATCATTAAACTGTTCGTGGTCTTGACAGGGGTTGCCCAACCCAGCAGATCGCACGTTCAGCTTGGTGAAAGGGAATCTGCTGTGAAAGTCACTTCCTAACCACTCCTGGTGACTGGCAATCTGATACCTAGTTAGTTACGACTACAGTATGATGTGTTATGATGTGAAGCTGCTTTTGTCACTGTTGTTCTTGCATCCTAGCAAACATGCACATAAGGAAACGACAAAATCTAAAATGTAGCCTAGCCATACTATGCAACGGGTGAGGAGAAAATTTGGTGTCCTTTCCTATCCTGCCTGTTTTGGTGGGGGGGGAATAAGAAAAGAAATCGTTCTGGTTATGATCATTTTAGGATCTGAAAAGGCCAAGAAATCCACGTAGGACTAAGCACAAAGAAGAAGAAAAACCCACCACAAACACCAAAACAAACCCCTCCGCCCCCCAAAAAAGCCCCAAAACCCCAACACCATAGCCTGCCCAGGGCCTGCAGACAAGCAGAGACTTCTGAAGTTATTACAAAAGCTTATCAGTTTGACAGATGAATTTCTATCATTGAATCAATTACTCTGAGACAATCGTTTGGGGGTATACGTTTTTATCACCCAAAATGAACCTACTGCTCAGGGGTAAGGTGTCCCTCCAGAATGTACTACAGCAGGAGAGGGAGCTTGCCTAAGTTTTTTGGATAGGTATGAAGTCTCCTTCCTAAGGAGACTAAGGCTGTGAGAATTGGGTTTGTTCAGCCTGGAGAAGAGAAGGCTCTGGGGAAACCTGATAGCACCTTCCAGTACCTGAAGGGGCTACAAGGCAGCTGGGGGGGACTTTTTACAAGGGCCTGTAGTGATAGGACAAGGGGGAACGGGTTTAAATTGAAAGTGGGGAGGGTTAGATTGGATATCAGGAAGAAATTTTTCCCGGAGAGGGTGGTGAGGCACTGGAACAGGTTGCCCAGAGAAGCTGTGGATGCCTCATCCCTGGAAGTGTTCAAGGCCAGGCTGGATGAGGCTTTGAGCAACTTGGTCTAGTGGAAGGTGTCCCTGCCCATGGCAGAGGGGCTGGAACTAAATGATCTTTAAGGTCCCTTCCAACCCAAAACCACTCTATGATTCCATGATGCCAAGCAGACATCCTGGAATGCCTGATGAGTCCAAAAGTCAGGATCTCCCCGTGTGGAGCTACTGCCCTGCTACAGAAATGGTGACATGCACAGGCTGGAGGGGACCAAGTTTTCTGGAGATTTGTTTATGCTATAATTATCCTACCTTTTTTTTTTTTCCTATTTCAAGTTGTAGTCAGCACCTTTGCATGTTTAAGTTATTTCAAAGGCTACCCGCAGATCTGTCCCAACGGCAGTCCTGCAGCACAAAACGGCCAGCAGGAGCTGTTCGCACAAACCCAGGAATGTGAGCAGCACCCTGGTTTCTACAGCTGCTTTTAGCAGAAGGTTAAAATAGCTTGCTTCAGAGAAGTTCCTAAGTTAGGATAAAACCAGCCACAAAGGAGCTGCATGCCATGTCCTAGAAGGGATCTACTCCATAGAACAGTAGGGAAATACGGTGATTTCCTCAGAGCATGGATGTGGATAGGAAGGGTTTTGTGTGTGTTCAGTAATTCATGTGGGAAGGGGAAACGACGATTCCTTGCCTCAAATTTTCAGACTGTGTGCTGGGGAGGGACTAATACCTGGAATACAGACATACCGTGTGCTGTTCAGTTAACTGGTGCAGTCACCTCTTTGAGAGGTTCTCCTTTCAGAAAAGGAAGAATAATATGGGGAAAGGCATGCCAAAACTTAGGTCAAATACGGGTTCTGCTTGGTTTGTCTCCTTGATACTGACTGCAAAACAGACCCCTCTGGCACAATAAGCATACTTGCTCATTCCCACTACGCCTTTTTTGGGCCAGGTGTTTGAAATTGCAAAGATGGTAAGAAGAAGATAATAGAATTCCGTATCTAAAATTGTACGTCTCCCATGAAACAAAGACCGCCCAGATACTTTCTACTGAGAGTATCTCCCAAAAGGCGAGGATGAAGAACTGTAGAAATATTATCCCATGAATAGGTGAGGGGAAAAAAACCCAACCCCAAACCCTCTTTCTATTCCACTCTAATTGTATCCGTCATCGTAGAGAGCACTGTGCAGAAATGTATGTAAACCTGATTTTTCTAATAAGCATAATTGAATATGGCCACCTACACGCAATATGATAATGAAAAGCTAATGTCATTTAGTGTTTCTGTAAGGCTATGTTCCTGTCAGTCTGCACAATCCTGTCCTTAGACAGGATTTGGTGACTCATTTAATGTGGTTACAGCAAGGTCTGAAAGCTTAGCAGTATAATCCTCCTTCTAGGGGGTAAGACTTTGCCCGTTTTAATGTCCTCTTCTTGCAACCTTCTGGAATCCACGTTTCAGAAGAAAAGAAAATACTTAAATTCAATTTGATGCAACCCCTGTATCTGCAGAAAGTACTAGGAGGAGTGAGAATTAGATGAATTATTGTGAAGTTTTCCTCATTTCAGTGCACGCAGGGACACAACATTGTCACTAACGTTTTAATCCCACAGTCACGGGACAAAGAGCAGCCATCTGAATATTACCACTGTGCAAAGCTTTGCCACAAGAAAGCTGCATGAAAAGCCACAGAGCAAGAGACTCAACGAGCAAGAAGCTACTTCTATGTCCCTTTGAGAAATAATATAAAGGCAACATTTAAAATAAAAACATCACTGATGTACTTTTTTTTAAACTGGAAATGTAGAAAATTTCCCTTCATGGTAAAACTCTAAGAACTTATACACATCTTGTACAACTGAGATTTGATTTCTAATGTCTGTACCAAACAGAAACTTCAACACGTAGAGAAGAATAAAATATGTTCTAGGGTAATTACACAAATACTTCCAATACTTGAAAAAGTTATTTTATGGTAATCTGTGTATGAAAGGCTTCTTGTTGCTTTTCTGCTAGCTATCAGTACTTTTCAACTTTGCTGTAATTGTTACAGACCTTTGTCTCAAAGGTCCTTCTTCCAGATAAGAATACTGCTGAGAAAAGATTTTTTTGGTGCAGCTCCTTTTTTCAAAGCTCCTTTTCTGGATATTTAGGAACACTTTTATTTTAAATGTGGGGTCTTTATACAAAAACTTTTATACAACTGTCATGCCATCATTTCCAGCCTAGAATGAAGATCAGTCCGCTCTAATGCTGTTACTTCTTAGCATAACTAGATACACCGAGGAAGGATCAGACACTTGAATGTTATTTTAAATGGAATTAAAATTCACAGTGGCCTAGTGAAAACCCCTTCCCCAGTACCTGAGATTTAAGGATATATAAATGACAGAGACTGGGATCCTGGTCATGAGAGCTACAGAAGCACCTAAACAGCCTATCAGATAGATAAAGACAAGCTTTTTAGGTTTTTGAGACAATTCAAGTAAGCACGGTTTTAATTTCTGATGACTATCTCTTTATAAGTCTTAACTGTCTTGCCCAGTCTGGAATTGCCAAATAAGTACTGCTAATTGCTTTTGCTATCTTCAGTTAGTGGTATATATTAAACTGATCGACATCAAATATTCCATCCTTGTAACTATAATGAAGCTTAAAAACAAGGTACAAGACACTCCAGTAATGTCTGGATCCTGAACACATTGCTCAGAGTTCTCTGAAAGAAACATGCCAGCTGACTAAAGAGTTTGGACAGAAAGCAAGTCCTCTCTACAGTGGGACAGACGAGCTCCCATGACCCGAGGAAGTTATATGGCATACCGCAGGGTGCGGGAGTATACCGTAAAACCCCTCAGCCGCTGGGAGCAAGTCACTGCACCTGTATACACGACACGTGACAGAGCAGGACGGAACCTCTGAAACTGTTAGTAAGCAGCTGAGCTACACTGCAGTAGGTGATATGAAGATTAATAAATGCAGAACTAGATGAGATGCTGGAGTTTGGCACAGCAGCAGAGCAAAATAGAAAGAGAAAAGGGGGTGGAGGGGAAAGACCTACCTTCACAGTTCTTGGAAGTTAAATTGTACCTGTAGCCTTCTGCACACAGACATTCGTATTTCCCCGGGGTGTTGTAGCAGGTGGCTGTCCCGCAGATGCTTGGCTGTAACAAACATTCATTTATATCTAGAAATACAAATGAGTTATTGAAAACAAGTCACTCTCACACATACCATTTTTTTTCCTAACCCTATGCAAAACTGTGCAAACTTAGAGAGGCTGGAAAACTGTCTCTTTCTTTCTAGGTTTACCATGCTTTCATAGCAGAATACAGCTATAGCCCTAAAGATTTCACTTCTTCAGACTGAACAAGACCAACTCTCTCAGCCTTTCATCACAGGAGATGTGCTCCAGCCCTCTGAGCATCTTCGTGGCCTCCTCTGGACTCGCTCCAACTGGTCTATACCCTTCTGATCTTGAGTACCCCACAGCTGGATGCAGCACTCCAGGTGGGGTCTCACGAGAGCAGAGTACAGGGGGAGAATCTCTTCCCTCGACCTGCTGGCCACACTTCTCTGGATACAGCCCAGGATACGGTTGGTTTCTTGGCTGCACGTTGCTGGCTTGATCCTTGCTAGTACTTCAATTCCCACTTGTATGTGCAGGGATCATCGTATTTTTCTCTACGGTTTTGTAGCAGTTGTAGAAATGGTGGTGCATAGGGAGAACAGATTCTGCCACTGGCTTGCTAGGACTCCAAAAACATTTCTTAAGTCAAAGCTGTCTTGAATTTGGATGGCTTTTCCACAGTTACTGTGAGTACTCCAAACTCCTAGGTGTATCATGTTGTAGTTGGATATAATGAAATGCTTAAATCCAGTTTATCAAATGACCAAACTAGTACTCTAGTTACTAAGGCATATTAATGTATTTCATCTCTGATTATTATTTTATCAACTTTTCCAGTATCTTTCCAAGAGTTACAGAGATCTTATCTTATCTTCTTGTCTTTTTCGACAAAACTGCAATTTTCTTTTCTGAAATTTCTTTGGAAATTATTCATTCAGGAAAAAAAAATAAAGAGATTAAAGGAAGTGACAGCAGGAGATGGCCCTGAAGTCTGGCCTCTTATTTAACATAATCCAAAACTGTTGGCATAGTTCAGCAATAAAATGTATGACACTAAAATGGAATGAGGTTGTATTTTTTTTTCTACCTATGCAGTTAAGAACTGTGGTTTATGTTAATACACAGTCTTTATCTGGAATGGAATGAAGCATGCGGGTCATGGCCAATATAACAGACACAACCATGTGCAGAAAAAAAAAATTATGCTCGGTGAGTAAAAGACAAATCTTTCTCTCCATTAAGAGCATTTACAGATTCATTAATAGTTTCTTCTCCAATGAACTTCAAACTCCCAAAAGAGCAGCATCACTAATTAGGAGTGATTCAGCCTAAATCAGTGTTTACCAGACAGGATTTCCATGGTAACAATTCAGGTAGTCACACTACTCTAGATTCTTGTTTCCACATGCTTAAAGGGTACGTGAAACTGGTCAGTGACCAAAACAGGATATACAGCGCTCTGGTAAAGAAGCAGAATCTAATACATAGTCTTTCTTTTTTTGAGCCGTCTTCTTTTTTCCCTTTTCCCCCCCCCCCCCCCCTCCC